ACCAAACAAATTTGCAATAGTTTGTGGTTTATAAAATACTACGAAGAAACAAATTATCATTTTGAGAGTTACTCTGAAGATGAGAAACCAGAAATTACTGCCATGGATCTCAGGACACAATTTTCCTCCAAAGCCACAAATGTCCTCACTAAAAACTGCTAAGGCTGATTATTATTTGTGAAGTAATTTAGATTTACTTTTTATTATATTTCTAACTGCATATGCTCCTAAAGGCAGTACCAGATTGCTTTTAAGCTAAAGCTCCTAAAAATATTTCTTTAATTTGGTTGTGCAAATTTCAAAGAAATACTTTTAAATTTTTAATTTTATTTTTATTATTTTTTTACAGACTTACAAACCTTCATGATTACATTTCAGTCATACAATGATCAAGTACCCATCCCTCCACCAGTGCCCATTCTCCACCACCAATGATCCCAGTATCCCTCCCGCAACCCCCTCCTCCATTCCCCCCACACCTCTTTTTTTTTTCTAATTTTTAAAAAAATTTTAAACATAAGGAAAATGCCCAGTGGGTAGACTGAAACATAAATTTATTTTTTAAAGTAATGTTGCAAGTTAAAAAAATAGAAGCCTGCCTTCATTAACTACTAAATATGCTGTTATAGTTTTTTATCACAGAGCAACAAAAGAAAAAATGCAATATCAAAATGGATTACCAAGAGGTGGCAAGGTAGACAGGCACTTCAAAATGATGGCAGAGCAAGTTCCAGGAAAAAAATTACAGCAGAATTAATACTTACCAATAATCCTCTAAATTCCTACTATCCTGTTAATCTTGAAATATTTAATTCACAGATTTTCAATCCCAGGAAACTAGTGATTATTTAAATTCTGAAGACACTGGTACTGATCGCCTGCTTAGTATCGTACTCAAAGGACTTTTGAGTGCCCAGTTGGCTCTTAGGCCCAGATTATATCCTCAGAAAAGAATGTGCTTTTACCTTTACAAGTTTTTACAAGTCACAATCAGGCTTTCATGCAGAAGGGAGCGTTTCACAAAGAAAGGGACAATAGTTTCCTTTAAGCAAACAAATTCTGTCAATCTCTAAAGACTCAGTGTGACAAAGCTCTCAGAAGCTCCAAGGTGTTTTGGCCCTCAGGGTATCAAGAGAATTGAAAGAGGACAGCTAATCTGCCTAAAACTCCTAGGAACTAGAACTGTAAATCTATTAAGGAATAGAGAGTTGATAAATGTTTGCTGAATGAGTAAACTAGATGAAAACAAAACTAAATCGGAGTCTAAATAAAGTACTACTCTGAAGTTTAAGTGCAATAGTGAGAGTCAGCAGGAAAAGACTAAATTTTAAAGTTATTTATTTATTTGCGGTGCCAGAGGTTCAGGATGAGAGTTATTTTGGAAGAATATCCACTTGACCCTAACCTTGGTTAAGATAAGTCAACACTACCTGATACACAAGTAATAAGAAATTTGAAATAGGCCTATGAAACTGCAGACAAAAACAGAAAACTTGATTTAAAAGTTAATGGGGTCAAAATAAATAGCTGGAAGGATTGAGTGTTTGTCAGCCAAAAGGCTTGGGTTTGATTCCATGCACCCATAGAACAGGACGAGCAACTCCAGGTGTGCCCCAATATTTTCTATTTATAGGAATTAATATAGACACATCACACCTATACTGGACAAATATGATACTCCGAATTATTGCTATCTTAAAGCATATGCCTCTGAAGAATGCACAGCCACAGAAATACTGTAATGCAGGGCAATCTCTTCTTGTCTTCCACTTGGAAGATATTAATGAAAATGACAGGATTATAAAACTGAAAACAAATTCACCACATCTAGTTTTCTACAAAAGGCAAATTAAGGGCCGGAGCAATAGTACAGTGGGGAGAGCATTTGCCTTGCATGTGGCCGACCTGGGTTCAATCCCCGACATCCCATATAATCCCCCAAGCACCACCCATAGTGATTCCTTAGTGCAGAGCCAGGAGTAACCTCTGAGCATTGCTGGGTGTGACCCAAAAAGCAATAAATAAATAAATAAATAAAGGCAAATGAAGTGGGGCCAGAGTGGAGCCAGAGCAACAGTATAGTGGACGGGGCTCCTGCCTTGCACAAGGCCCACCTGAATTTCACCCCCAGCATCCCATATGGTTCCCAAGCACCTCTGGGAGTGATACTCAAGGAAGCATAGAGCTAAGAGTAAACCTTCAGCACCAATGGGTATGACCCCAAAACAACACACAAAAAAAAGACAAATAAAGTTCATTATAAAAGGAGTCACAATAGATTTCTTAAGAGTCCTAGTTCTCATAAATAATTTGAAATAGTATTCAAAATAGTCAAAGATATTTTACATATGCATCTTATGGAAAACAAGTACAAACAATTATATGTGTGTATACATGTTTTAGTGTGTCTTAATGCATATATGGGTGTTTACATGGTTATATGTGCCTATATAAAAATATATATATGATTTGGGGATCACACCCAGCGATGCTCAGAGGCTAGTGCTGCAGTGCTCAATGGTTGATGCAGTAGTACTGGGGATCAACCAGTCTTCCAGTGGTTGTCTTTGAGGATCAAACCCAAATCTCATGCAAAGTAGAGTTCTAGACATACATCAAAAATATAGGCCTTGTCATTCAGTCATTCTTAATTTATTGAGTTGAAATTAACACTCCAGTGAGTTAATAAAGCCATATTTTCCACTTTTCAAATGTATGTCTAACACCCTAAAACAGGGGTGTGTCAAACACATCAATATTGTCCATGCTCCCCCTATGGGCTAACATTCAAAATAACAATAAATTCGCCAAGAGTTGCCTTTGAAGCACTAGGGTTCAAAAGCAAGCTGGCCATTTTTATTTTAAAAACATGAGCTGAATCAACAGTTGCTAAGTAAAGCTGCCCCGTAATGGTCAGATTCCATCAAAACAGGAAAAATTAAAGTTGACAAATGACAAAGACTAGCTGAAGGGCTGAAATAATGCTGAAGCCTTAAAACACTGAACAATACAAAGTTAAGGCCAAAAGCTAGGAACACCAAGAAACAGAGCAACATCCTCTAACTGACACAATGGCATGAAATCAATTTCAATTTAATTGCCCTTAAGGGGGGTAAGAATTATTTCCCTGCCTCCTCTGCCAACCCCAAGCTGTTTCCTAAGGAAGCCAAGTCATGCTAACCAACAATGTCTAGAGAATTAATAAAAGAAATTAAGAATAAAGATCCAGGGGCTGGAGCGAGAGCACAGCGGGTAGGGCATTTGCCTCGCACCGGCCAACCCGGGTTCGATTCTCAGCATCCCATATGGTCCCCTGAGCACTGCCAGGGATAATTCCTGAGTGCAGAGCCAGGAGTAACCTCTGTGCATCTCCAGATGTAACCCAAAAAGCACACACACAAAAAAAATCCACATTAGTACAAAGAAATTCTATTTATAACAGAAGGTCATTTTCGGAGGAGCTGTAATCTTGCACCCCTGTCAGACCATCACCTAGGAGAACCACAGAAATCATAGCCCGTGTTTCAGCACCAGGCTCTGGTCCCTTGGGGGTATGACAGAAGGCACCTGAATGGCTGCGCAAAAATCCGGCTGCGCTTTGTTGGTCGAGGCTACGCAGTCCGGCTAGGTTAGGAGTCAGAATTCACAGAAAACTGTGCAGGAACTTGGTCAAGCAACGAACCTCAAGCCTCTAATCCTTAAAGTGGAGTGATGAAAGGTGTGCCTAACCAGTGTGGGTGTAAGGATTAGGTGTGACTGTCCCTAAAACCTTGACAGGCTCAGCCCCATAAACTTGGGCTGTTTTATTACCAGTAAGAAACAGCTAATTGCTCACAGAAGTCACTGCAAAGTACCAGTTCAAGAAAATTAAAAGGTCTTGACATGTACTTTCTACTTGCACAGACGGATCTCCCAAACCCACTTGCTTACTACTCTTAAGGATGCTAGACTTGGGGAGATGAGTCCCTGCTATGCTTCCATGTTGCACAGCGGAGCAACTCCGAACCACCGCTGGGTTGGGCCCCCAAACAAAAAGGTCAGATAATGTCATTTGCACCATCCCTGTCATTTGCACCATCTCTGTCATTTGCATCACGCCTCTTGCTCTTCTCCCGGCACCTCTGGGTCAGGATAATCCGCAGTAACAAGCGCTGCGAGCTCAGCGCCGGGCGCTGTTACATCGTTCCATCCTCAGAGGACCGCGTTAGTGTTTATTTCCATTTCACAGCTACGGAAACGGAGCTTTGAAACGGAGCTTTTCTCCCGGTTTTTGTTTAGTTTTTTGTTTTGTTTTATTTGGTTTGGTTTGGTCGTCAATCTTCCCGGTCCACCCACTCTATTCTGCGAGAGGTCAGGTATCCCGGCTCCCTAAAATGCCATTCTGGAAAGTGGGACAAACGCCCCAATAAAACAAGGCGTTGTTAGCAACTGTCCGAGCAACGGGGCAGAGCTGCCCGAGTGTCCTAAACAAATGAAGATCGCTTGGCAGTCAACTGGGCAGGAAGGCGAAGAGACCCGCTGCGGGGGGCTTCGGGCTGCAGGACAGCGCCCCGCCCCTCCAGCACTGCCCCTCGAGGGCGCGGCCGTCAGCGAGCTCTCCTCGCGTCCGAGCTCGGGGTCCCTCGGCCGCCGCCTCCGCGTCTGTGACTGAGCACACTACCGCAAGTCCGGTCCCCCCCCGACGCCGCCCCGCGTCCGCAGAATCCGCGCGCGTTTAGAAAGAGTGAGGCGAGCAAGTTGTCGTCTCCCCAGAACTGCGACATCGCTTCCCGCGGCGGTCGCTCTCACCCACGCACCGCCCGCCGCTGACCCCCTGCTCCTCCAGGCGTAAACACTGCAGGGCCGACGCCGCCCTCGCAAGTACGGATGGGGGGGATCCCGGAGCCAACCCCTTACTCCCCGGCTGCGGGGAAACCCGGCTGGGAACCCCGCGCAGAGCGCACGGGCAGCGCGCAGCTTGCAGAGTGCAGGGTCCCGGGACCGCGGCCGGCCGCACGTACCTCGGAGGCGCGGGGTGCCGGGAGATCCAACCCGCTGCGAGCCGGACAGACGCCGGGAAAAGTGTCCCCGGCCCGCGCGCGGCGGCCGCGAGCTCAGCTGTGCAAGGCAGCGCTCGGCGCAACTACGCCATCCGGGGACTTTCACCTTCTGCTGGGAGCTCGGGGGAGCGCGCAGGGAAAGTGGTCGCGCGCGCAGGAGCCGCTCGCTGCCCGCCCGCCCTCTCTCGATCGCTCTCTCTCACTCTCGGGGAAGAGCCGAGCGCGCCTCGGCGGCCCCGAAACCCTCGATTACCCCCATCGGGCCGGCCCCGCGCGCTCGCTCGCTCTCACTCGCGCGGGCGGGGACTGGCCGGACGCCACAGCAATCAGCGCGCGGGGGGATGGGCGCCCCGCCCCCAGGTCCCCTCCAAGAGCCGCGGCCACCGAGAAACTCCACCCCGCAGGCGCCCGCCCCTCTCTCCTCCCCCTTCTCCTCCGCGGCTGATGGATGAGCACGGAGCGCGGCTCCGTCCGGCGTTTCCTTCGGGCCAAGGCTTGGAGGGAAAGGAGCAGAGAAGGGGCGCCGCGTCCTGCCCGGAGCCGGCCGCGTCGGCGGGGAAGGGCTGGACTGGGCAGCGCGAGCGCGAACTGCAGGCATTCGGACCTTGCGAGTTTCCAAGGAACCCTAAAGAAGTGTGGGGGGGGAGGGGGTCTTCGGTTCTTCTGTCATAATATAAAAAGTATAAAAATGTCAAATAGGGGGAGGAAGAGGCGGGCTAGAAGTGACAAAAGGACAGCGACGTAAGTCACAAAACTGATAGGGTCTTGGGCGCTTTGGTGGAGGTGAAGGTGCGGTAACTTTGTACGTCAAAACCATAATCAGTAACATCATAACCATATTTTCTGAGGTGCGATTGAAATTAAAAGATAAATTGAATCGCAGATAATCTAATCTTACCGACTTACTTGCCCATTCCTGCGCAATTTCTCTCTTCCCCCTCTCTCGCTTCTCTCCCTCTCTCTTTTCTTCATCCTACCCTCCTCCTTTTCTTTCCTTCTTTCCCTCATCTTCCTCGCTTCTCTCTTCTCTTTCTCAACCCCCTTCTCTTCCTCTCCTCCCCCCCCCCACATTCTTTCTCTATCTCTCCTTCCTTCCAGTTTGTTTTTCGCCCTCCAATACCGCTGCGCTAGTTACCACAACATGCGCTCACACGGTGAGCAATGATCGGGCCTTGCTCCTCCAAGCAGCTGAGAGCGCACCACCCTCCAGTTTGCCCCACGCTGCTCCTCCTCGCAGTTGCAGTTCCGACAAGAGAGCTTGACTGTGCCAATGCACGGGAAGGTGTGCGCCCTGCAACTTCCAGCTGAGCAGTAGGCAGCAAGGGCGAATGCATCTCTCTGAACACTACCTTAGTATTTCTACTTAGACAATTATGCCTACTTTAATATATATATTAAAGTCTCAGTCTCATATATATATTTGGAGGACACTATTACGGACAGGATCCTACTCAGGGCTGATGAGTTTCAGGGACCATATTTCCAGTCCTGAATTTGCCCTTGGACTGTCGTGGAACATTAGACAAACGACTTAAATCTCCATGTCTGTTCCCCCTCCCCTCCTAAAATGAGGAGCTGAAACCAGAGAGATAGAACAGCATGCAGAGCACTTGCCTTTCATGCGGCTGACCCTTTTCTATCCCCTGCACCCCACATGGTACCCCAAACACTGCCAGGAGTGATCCCTGAGCCAAGAGTAAGCTCTGAGCATAGCCAGATGTGGCCCTTCTCCACCACCCCCACCCCCCAAAAATAAAAAGAGATGGCACACAACCTGAGAGACCTCTTTCAGTTCTAAAATGCTATTCTAAGACAATTAAAATAGTGCCCCATTGAGTGTGAAACTTTATTCTATTGTCATTTATATTTGTATATATATACATGTATATTTACTGGATATATATATATGAATTTTTCTACTTTGAATAGAAAGTATTTCTCATTCTTTTTTCTCTTGGGCCTATGCATGGAGAATCTACCCAATTGGAGTCTTTCACAAAGGTCAAATGGTCAGTGATCTTAAGAATCCCAGCAGTGGGGGCTGGAGAAATAGTGTAGCTGTAAAGGTTAGGTTCCCAGCACCCTATATGGTCTCCTGAGCAACAGAGCCTGGAGTAACCCCTAAGCATCTTGGGTATCTCACCCCCCCCCACACACACACACACAAACAGAAAACAACAGCAAAAAAATCACTGCAAAAACTTCCTCAGTGAGCTATGCAAACCTAATTAGCATTCGCTGAGAACCTACTGTGTGAAGTCTAGAGTGAGGCCGTATATGCGTATAGGCATAATGACCTAAAGAAACAGTCTCAGTGAAGCCAGTCGCAATTTTCATGTGTTCTTTAGATTTAATGCCTTCCTCTAGACCCAAATTGATGGACACTCTTACTTTAGATTGTTAAATTTCAGATTCAAGTACTTACCCAAGCACTTGTACTGGGTGTGACTATTTAATCTAACACTAATACATATCAATCATATTTAAAGGTAAAAGGTAAAGGCCCTCCCGTTGATCGTCGATTTGCTCGAGCGGGCCCAGTAACGTCTCCATTGGAGACTTTGTTGTTACTGTCTGGCATATCCAATACTCTCAGTAGCTTGCCGGGCTCTCTCAATCATATTAGGACTTTCTATTGAAAATGGCAGGGTAGAAGAAGAGCAAAGTCCGAAATAATTTAAAAGTGTGTTATCCCTACAGAGTAAAAAAGTGACTATGAACACCAGAGCCAAATTTTCAGTCATAACCTTTAACATCTGCTGAGCAATTAATGAGTGCCCGGCAGAGCACACAACATTCAACATATGTGAATGATTCTCATAGCCCTAAAAGACTGTACAAAAAGACTGCAAACAAACAAAAAAAAATGTTTTTAATTCAGGATGATTTAATTAGATTCAGTTGATGATATAAGAAATTGTAACAGAATTTGGGCAGAGGATATGATTCAGTGCCACAGTATATGCTTTACAAGTATCAGGTCCTGGATTCAATCCCCCTCAATCCCGCCCCTCCCCCATCAAGTAAATAAACACATAAAACATAAAGGGAGGACTGGAGCAGCGCTAGTACAGCAGGGAAGGCACTTGCCTTGCACAAGGTCAGCCTGGGTTTTATCCATTGCATCTCATATGGTTCCCCAAGCACTACCAGGAGTAATTCCTGAGTGCAGAGGCAGGAGTAACCCTTTAGCATTCTGTGTTCAGTGTGTCCCGCCACCCCCCAAAAAATGATACCAGTCCTTAAAAAACTAAACGTTTTCACTCACTATTTACACTCATTGTGTGATCTTATTACCAGACATCCAGTCGTGGAAGCATAGAGTAAAAGTTTATAATAAACTTAAGTTTTTAGTTCACCAGCAAAGATCTATAGAAGTTCCCCTACCTTTTAAGAATCACAATACTAAGTGGTACGATGAATCACCTCCTTCACTAGTTTCTTACAATTTAGGACTGCATTCAAGTAATAGTATTTTACAATTTTAGGTTATAATTATCCTTGGGTCCAAGGTGGTCAATCATTTTGGTCAATGATTTGTTTCATTTTATTTTTTCAAAAAGAAATAGAGGCAGAAGCTGACACAAAGAGACAAAGAGGTGTCTGCTTGCATGGAAATGCTTGATATGGTGCTTCACTGATTTTATGAAACTGTTTCTCACAAGGAACCACCCCACCTCCAGGCACAGACCCACTTGTTTATGGTGACTCATATTGAGGGACATGTCTCCAATTTATGCTCATTACAGACAACTAAACAAAGTCGTCATAACTTATTTATGTTCCTTTACTGAAGTAATACAACAATTCAGATTTCTGAAGGACCATATTTTCAAAAATAATTTAGGTGGGGTTGGAGAAATAGTACAGCAGGTAGGCTCTTTGCCTTGCTTCACAGACAGTCCCCTAATCACAGCCAGGGGTCACTCCTGAGCACAGAGTCAGGAAATAGCCCCTGAGTACCATGGGGTGTGGCCCAAAAACAAAACAAAAAAGAAATAAATGCAGTCATTTCATTTTGTTTTGGATCTCTGCCTGGCAGTATTTACTGGCTCTTCCTGTCATGATGGTGAGGGGCTGCTTATGGAAGAGCTCAGGGGACCATACTGTATCAGGGGTCAAACCCTGGCCTCCTATATGCAAAGCACTTGCTTAGTCCATTGAGCTTTCTCTTCAACCAGATTTAGCTTTTGCTGGTGTTTTTAGGGGGTTGAATAATTGGTTTGGGGGCCACACCAGGTGGGTCCCAAGAGCACTCCTGGCTCTGTGCTCAAGGATTATTCTGGAACACCGATCTCCAGCCACCTAAGCCTGTGCTCAGCACATTGAACTATCTCCCCAGCACCTAATTATTTCCTTTTAACAAATCTTCATATAGTACTTCTCACACACTTCACATTTTTACAAATTCTCACTCACTAAATTCTTACGATAACACTATTACCCTCATTCTTCAGATTTAGAAAATGATACACAAAGAGATTAATTTGCACAAAGTCGCACAACCAGCACATGCCAGAACCGGGTCCTGTGGCTCCAGTATCTATGCTCTAATCTTCCACAGTTTTTGTTCATATAAATAGAAGAGATTTTGTCCAACTCTGAGACAGTCTATTTATTTAAGTGAGTGCAGAGGGCAGGTCACATTCCGGGGTTGCTCAGTTATCTCTCCTGCAGTGCTGGAGGGACCATACAGTGGGGGGATCTACCAGCCCTTCTTCATGCAAAACAAATGTTCCTCGCAAAGCTGCTGCAAACTCGTCACACCATGTTTTTGAGTAATACCACACGATTTTTTAAACAAGCCTCATATAATGGTCACACTCTTATTTATTTGCAAAAGAACAACCAAAAAAGTATAACATCTGCAACCATTATGGAGTGAGCTGCAGGTATCTAGCTGATTTTTCTTTTTTTCCTTTTTATTTTGGTTTCTGGGACACACCCAATTGTACTACTGGCTTATTCCTGGCTCTTTGCCCAGGGATCACTGATGGAGGTAGGTAGGGCACCATATGCAGTGCCAGGAATCAAATCTAGCAGCACCTTAACACCTGTACTATTTTTCCTGCCCTTCCCTGGATAAGTGTTTTAAAATTCAATTCTCTAAAAGTCTCAACAACTTGTTTATGATAGAAATTTGCACCCTCGCTGTTGCATAAAAATAGATTCCTTTCACACAACAAGGAGGGGGAGAGGACACTTTTAGTTTGTCTTAAACAGCCAG